TCCAAATGGCACTTCTGTTATCACCGATAACACGAGTGTGGATTTTGTCCCACTTTTTTCACTATAGGCACTGCTGATAGAATTTTTCTTTCGCTTCTAAGCAATAGAGCACAGTTGCAGGAGTCTAGAATTTGTCGGCTTTTAAGAATCTCGACTTTCTTTTTGAGTTATGGCTGAAACAGCTCCCCAATTAACTGGAAAAATCAGTAAATCGACTTTTTTCACTATAGGCACTGCTGATAGAATTTTTCTTTTGATTCTAAGCAATAGAGCACAGTTGCAAGAGTCTAGAATTTGTCGACTTTTAGGAATCTCGACTCTCGTTTCGCTCTGTCCCTTGAAAGTCGGTCTCGAAGATCGAAATATTTGTCACAGTGCCTATGTTGGGAAGCTTGAGTATGTAATGAATAGGAACGGGTTGATGTAGAAGTGGGTCGTATGAGTTTGCGAAGATGATATGTTGGCTTCAGTGTTGATGGAAAGATGTTGCGAAGTAGGACGGAGAATTGCTGTGCACATGATTTTTCGGAAGCCGTATTCGTTTGAACCTGTCTGTGGGAATGTCGAGCGGCATGAAGCGGGCGGAATGTTGATCTTACGTATTTTATACTACAAAATTAATGGATGTAGTATTAGAGAATTGTATTTCTTTTTTGTTTTGGAGAAATTATGTGGAATAACTCGCATTCTAGAACGGTTGGAAATGAACCGTAGATACTGTAGTATCGGGTGTTGGATGAATAAACACAGTATGTTGATTGAAATGTTTAAAGGTACCACTCGCTTTCGGAGCAGTTGTGATTGTGTAGTTGGTTGTAGTAATGTGTTTTTTGTCGAGAATATTTTTATCTACTTTAACAGGAGCAATATCAAAGGAAGAAATATTGAAATCAATTTGGAGCTTGTATCATAAGGCAAGGAACTCCTATTTATAAAAATGGGACTGTTTTATGTGGGGCACAGTTATCTGTTTTTCGCACGATGCTAATTCCGCGTGGATCAGTTTTATGGGTTCGAACATAAAATGAAGATTCTGAAGAGGTTTATCGTTGTGCTCGGAATGATGTGATCATTAATGAATTAATCAGTCAAATGTAATTGAAAAAGTAAAAAACGGTAGTTTAAATGCGGAGATTGGTTTTTACCACAGCTTATCTTGAAATGTAGTTGTATCGTCGAGACTTATTGTCAAAAGTATATGCTCACACTTACACCATGCGTACCATTTCCACAAAATTAGTTGCCTTTTCACAAGCTTTCCTCTATTGAGCAGGTATTCTTACGTCATTCACTAGTCGTTTCGATATCCCTTCCCAGGGCAATGATTCCGGGTCCCGGATCCGTGTAATTCCAGCTGGAAGCCGCGGGAAAAACCAACGGTTCCTGTAGGAAGGCACCGGAAATCAACGGGAAGTGGAAGCAGGAATTCTTTAGCCGGATCCTGCGGCCGTTTTTGCCTGGTTCCTTCCAGTTCCGGAGAGAACCGAGTAATTACGTGAGCCGGATCCAGCCCGTACTTTTCGACATGAGTTGTTCTTCGTAGACGTAATCCTAAATGCCGTATTCGAGGAAACAACATAGTCAGAAGTTCAATGTTGTGGAATTGAAATAGAGTTTGTATTTCTCACAGATTGAACAGTTTGATTATGTTCGAGACATGCTCTAGTTTTGCTAATTATACGTACAGGTTGAGATATTAATGCATAGATATTGAATGCATAGGTTAGAAGTTTGATTAATTTAATCAATGAAAAACTATTGAATTTGATTACAAAAGCTTTGATCTTTTCCAAAGGTAGAATAGAAGTAATATTGCGTAGCATTGAATCCAAATTGGAAGGAGAATATTTATAATCTAAAGTACATTCCGTTGTATGTGGAACGTAATGCAAATATTAATGTATTGTATTTTTATTTTCAATATAAACATGACCAGCTGATTTGAAAACTGTTCTATCTTGATTCTTGAGTTATATCACCGATATCATCCCGTTCTGCAAAACAGTTGAATAGGAAATTTTATAACTGTTATGTTTGATCGCGTACGATTTGTATATGAAATACCATTGTGGATCAATTCAAAATGGAAATGTGAATTCATTAAACTCTGATCAATTGCTAATATATTTGAATAAAAATATCGAATCGCAGATTCGGCAAATAATTTTATGTTAGGGTTTTCCATCTACCCGCAGCCACATATTCTTTCCCCCATGACGGAAATGTGTAGAACTTCAATAGGCTGAAAATGATTAACGAAAACACGTTCCAAATAATCGAAGTTTATTTGACTTTCCAATGCAATAGACAGCTGTGTTATATGATGTAACACGGATGTACACAACTGATTCACAGAGTGTCCATATAGTGAACTTAATGATGCACGACGCAAGTGAAGTACGTAGGAGAAAAACTCATCCAGTTCACCAAAAGAAAGATCTTGATCAACTATGAGATGTTCCATAGGACTAGGTTCATTCATAGCTAATAGTAATGCGTCTGATTGAACTATCTGTCCCAATGACAGTTTGCAATATTTCAGTGACGATAGACGAAAGATTTGCTGATAAATAAGATCGATATTTTGCGTTGGATAGAGCGTGGTGATAGTTGACGAAGAAAGATGGGTAGTAAAGTTAATTCAGAGAGAAGATGTTCCAGAAATTCCGACTCGACGTTTTAAGCGATAATACAAGTGCAGGTTCATCGAAGACGAAATGATTCCATACTCGTAGAGTATGATTATCTCCAGATTATAACGATTGAAATTTGATTGCATAATGAGAGCATCAAATCGACTGTGAATATTGAAAAATGCTTCATAGATGTGATAAAAATCGAGATATTCGAATTCAATAACGTTATCATATTTGTTACTAGAAAAGCAGAAGAGCACGTTTCATCGCGTTTTTCTTTCGGTAAAGACACATTCAGACGACAAAAGAAGAGAGCATTATCTAGGATTCCTAATGGTTCATTTAATGTCAAAAACTAAGGTAAAATCCATGTAAAGACGCTTGACCGGTGTAACATTTTGAAACGATTTATATATAGCCTGAAAAGGCAACTTTTGACACAGCAACAGGCGCAAGACGATGGTATATGTACAAACTCTTTGATGTTTCATGCGGTGAACCCATTATCAGAGCAGCCAATCCGAAAAAGAAACGAGACCATCAGCAATCATTTTTTTGCGTGGGCAAAAATTTTCTTGAAATGCCGATGAACAAATCGGTATAAATGACCGTGAGGCGCAAATGCATATGGATCAGACCCGAACGCTTCCGCACAAGTTAATAATTACTGAATGGGCAAGTAATCACGAAATATTTTTCATAGTAGAATAATATAGATTCGTCGCCGTGTCAGTCGCACTTTTTTCGCTGTCTATAATGCGAATCTTTTTATTCAAAAGTTGATTACGTGCTTTCACTTCATGGACGTGAAAATTGAACCCATAAGAGCAATCGAAGATGAGAACGAAGATCAAATTTCTCGGCATCATTACATAGATATTCTAAACAAAAAATATCGATTGTTGGGATCAAGCATCATTGAATTTACCTTTCTCATCGTAAAGATCGGAAAATTCAATTGTACCACCTGGTTGTTACGTGTGTAAATCGTAATACGATCATTCATAAGACCGGCTGCTTCTGCACCGCGATAACAGCTACTGTTCGCATTGTTTTATTTTACTTCTTCGACAATACAAAACACTCTTTTCCGATCAAATAACACATGACATGTGCTTTTTTTTCTCTGATAAGAACGAAAGAATAACATTTGTAACGTCGTATTTGTCTTTATTTAATCATGGTCACAATTCGGTCTAGTCGCGATGAAGATATTCATCGTATTACTGAAATCTATCGTTATTATGTCTTGAACACGACCTACACATTTGAAATTGACCCACCATCAGCTGAAGAAATGACGAAACGACGAATCGATGTTCTAAGCAAGCATTTACCTTACTTAGTTGCTGAACAAGATGGTTTAGTTGCGGGTTACGCGTCCTGTAATTGGTTTAAGCCACGCGCAGCTTATCGTTTTGCAGCTGAATTGTCAATTTTTCTGCATCATGATGCCTGTGGAAAAGGTCTCGGTCGACAATTATTGAACGCTTTAATCGAAAAAGCTGA